GAGAGGGGTCGGAGGTCGGACACATAGGTCGCTCCCTCCTCTCTCCTGATGTAATGCTCTGAGTTTGGGACCAGTGAGCCTGGGGAGAGCTGCCCCCCTAAGTGATAGGTAGGGGACTTTGGCAGGAGATGCTGGTAATGCTGCAACAGCTGATTTTGTGCATCTTTCTGTGAAGAGGCTACTGGCATTATAAGAAATGCACTAATCCACTGAAAGAAACAAAAAAAATTTCAAAATATTTCATTACATTAAATGCTAGTATGTTTAAAGCTTATGTTGACATAAGTGTGTTGAACTTAAAGGAAAACTAGAGGTACTGTGAGCAATGAGCTCACTAAATGATACCCCCCGCCTCCCATATGAATATAATGGCAGCGTCCATGTTTTGCTCTGGAAAATCCAAAATATATGTCAGATCGAAAAGTAAAATAGGAGGTGCACAATGGCAATATGTAATGAAGATTCTAGGAAAGTTTCATTAAATTTCCTTCAGTGGTATGAGAGGAGTTGCGGATAAGAGATGGGTACCCCAAAGCGTAACAGACGGACGGACGGAAATACCGATTACTATATACCCTCCCACTTTTCAAGCGGGGGGTATAATAATCCCTGATACCAGAGGGATTTTACACCAATGATCTCAAAATCATTTCAAGCTAAAGTGGGAGTACCATCTACACTTGTCTGTGTCCATCCTAGGATTATGGGTATGATTTGATAAACAGCTGTCTGCTGAGTAAAAACAGGGTGCATCAATGCAAGGGTAAATGATACATCTTCACAATTTGATAGGACCATCACATAATTTTTCATAATAAAAGTCATTTTTGATATGTTTTGCATGGAGGAAACAATGTAAAAATTGTTTTTAAACACTTATTGTTTTACTAGGAGCAGTACCTAAATGAAACTGACTAGTACGATTGTGAATGATAATTTTATAAAATTCAATCATCAAGATTTATTTTTTCAAACTCCATTCCTACACCGGTGGTCTGTTCTTTACCACATTAAACCTGAATGCATGAATTTCAATAATGATCCAGATTCAAAAGTAAAATGAACCAAAGATGGAGATTTTGTTCTATGTATCAGAAATTGCACTCTTAGTTTTACACTGATGAAGATCATGCATGACCTGCTAAAAATAAATAGGCCTACTCAAAAAATCGAAGAAAAAAATGTCATCCCTGATGAAAAGTAGTCAACAGAATGCTGGTAGGTATTTTCTACATTTTTACTGATTTAATGCATACTATGCTACACTAAGTTGTTGATTTTATTTGCTTTTTCAGTTTGTAAGTGAATAGTCTTTCGAAATCTTTGCATTTTACATGAACATACTACAGTCTAAAATGGAACAATCAGGTAAATACGAAGATTACATATTTTTATCTTCAATGCCTGGTAAGCTTAGTGGCGAATAATTTTCATAGAATTCTAACACTGCCCAAAAGATAAACGGAAATTCAACAGGCCTAATACTTAGTTCCCATCCCCTAAATTTAACGTCAGGCAATGCATGATAGACGGACACGCTTCAGTGACGGGTCAGGAACATAGAAAAAAAGACACAAAGTCAAAAACTATATCCTTTTAGCGCCAAAATACCAACCTAAATGAGTACTTCAGATATAATATCAATATACTGACCTGTTTTTATTCCAATGTTCAGAAAATTCCAGCAAGTTTCAGTTATTTCAGATAGGTAATGTGCGAACATATATCGAGGATCTCCTATCTGAAATCGTTCATCTGTAAAGTTAGTCAAGCCTTGGATCCCCCGCCTACCATGAGGAACGTCATTTCCGTTTTGCTCATTAATTTTCGGCAAAATCCGTAAAATTGACAAACATATTGTAAAGGTCTTAAAATTCGAAAAATATTATTCTGTAAAGAATTTTATAACAAACGATATTCAAATTATAAAAATATACTTAAAAGTAAAAAAAATATACATGATTACAAAGTTCATAAGGTTACTAATAAAAAATAACCCAAGTATATGATTGGTTACTGGATACCACGTGAACATTTTTTACCACCTCATTGGATAGTAATATTAAAGTGACCTTGGACACGGCTTTGTTAGCGTTGAAGAAGGAAGAAAGTTCCTGGCTGGAAGGCAGAGAGACATCTCTCGAAATTTTGAGCGAATTGCTCGTTAGTACAAAGACAGGTTATTTTAAATTTAAAGTTTTGGTTTAAAGGAAGAAGAAAGAAGTTTTCTGAGAGAAGATTTCTCTATTTGAAAGAGTGGAAAGTGACTTTTCATCGAAAATTGGTTTTCCTTTGGTCCGCCATATTGAAACCTTTGTTTACAAACAACTTTGACAGAAGTGCTTCATTTTTAAAGAACATTTTGTGATTTTTTTTCTCATATTATCGAGAAAAGTGCGAAGAAATCCGTCTTTTTTTCCTGATGACTTGGGCAGCCAACATGAAACATCCAAATCAGCGACACGCTCGACGACCTCAGAGGAGGCAATCTAAAAATAGCTCACCCTCTCCTGAGCATTTTGACAACTCGCCAAGAGGATCTCCAAAACTAGGATTTTCTCATCAAGACGGTCAGTTTTCGTCGGCTGACGAGAACAGCAGGGGAAGTCCCAGTCCCAAATTTGATGGAGGAAGCATTGCATATGCAGGTGCTCGTTTCAGCGACCCCCCTGCCCCAACAGTGCTCCCAAAGCCACCGTCTCACTGGATGATGAGTACTGACTTTGTGGAAACAAGTCACTATGAAAATGTCTCAAGTCACTTGAAAATGCTATTAAAAGTGCAAGTTAGTGCATAAATAATGCTAAACATTCCAAAGATACTTATTTTTTATGATGTGCAAATCTCATGAAATCAGTATTATATGAATTGCCATTTGATTGAATTCATGAGTTTGTTGATTATGTCTTGTGATATGTGTATTTTGTGAACGTTAATCAATATGATTTTTTGTTATTGGGTTTAAAACCCACCATTTTTCTTTTGCAACTGAATTTTTGTCAGATCTATCCTTCTCTCTTTATGATTACAATGGTGACAGATGGATGTTGACTTGTAAATTGATATATTGGACACAATTTTTATTCTTATATTGGTTTTATAAATTACCAAAAAAAAAAAAAAAAAAAAATTAGATAACTTTAATCAGACAATATGGAAAAAAAAACAACTAGAAAATGATTTTTTTTTTATTAAAGATATTAGAATTTAAACATTAATCTGTTTATAAACTATGATTTAAAATTTAAAAAGTTTATTTTTATTTGTCAACTTCATCTGTTCCTGCAGTTTTCATTTCAAACCCGGAATCAATTATTTTTAAGGTTGTCCTTTTTAGGCAGCAATTGTTTGTATTTTTATTCCTTTATTACATATATTTTTTATTGAAGATTAAAAAAAATGAAGAAAAAAAATCAAGAACTGTTTTTAGTTCTCAGGAAAGCAATCTACCCTCTAAAAACAACCCAAAAAAATTTTTTTTGATTGCATGCTGCAAACCTTGAAAGTAATTGATATACATGCTTGTTGTTGGTACATCCAGACAATTCCATCATTTTATGTATATAAATTTTTGTGTATATATATGTATATTTGGACAAGGACTGCAGATTGCCAATGATCTATTATAGTGCAATAATAATGAAATGTTTGCCAAATGTTTAGTAACATTTTTATGTTTTTAATTGTTCTCTAGTTACATGAGAAAACGAAGCCATTGAAATCCTCATGCTCATGTGTGCTTGTAAGATTGCTTAGTGAATGTGAACAAGAATTGAATCTACCATCTCGCACTTTTTTGATTTGATTTTCACATTATTTTCTGGAACAAAGCTATTGCTTAGCTGATACGTATTTTTATTTTTCATTGATTAAGTTAATTATTTTTCTGGTTCTTTAGTATTATCTATGATGTTATGTATTTTTTGAAAATTATAAATAGAATTTCTTTAGCAAAATTGATAAAAGTTTAGATTTTAATAATTTTTTCTGTCTTATTAAAATTTTTGATTTAGATGTTAGTATGAATGAGATATGATTTTCTTGTGTGTATTGTATCTCTGAAAATGGACATGTAAATTGACTGTAAAGAGAAACTACTTGGTAGTTAATCAAGTTTACATGGACAATTCAAGAAATGGATGAATGGATCAGTTCACATCAACTCAAAAGCTACAAGTTTCATCTTCATAATCATCGTTCATTGGGGATGCCAACCATCGTCTTCTACAACGGTGGAGAATGGCCCGAGTATGGCTGAAGTGAGAGACTGATGTAACGTGAGCTTCGCGCTGGAGAATTCCAGATCCTGGCAGTCTGTATAACCTAGTCTACCTCAATCGTCCTGCATGGAAATGTCTCGGTGAACCAGCAACACCGACTATACTAAATAAAATCAAAACTCTTCCTTCCTATCTTTAGGGTCCTCTTTAGGACCCGCCAAATTCTTCGAAAAGATGCTTTCTGTGCAGTCGAAAAAGAAACGTTCAGGGTACTTGAAAGAGAGGTAATTCTTACAACTTGATACTTACAGTTGAAAGTTGTATGACATATCCTCTTTCACTAATTGATAATGTAGTAAATTATGTTGTACTACAATAGTTACTGATAGATAATGGATATAATGAGAGATATTGTCTCAAAAACAATAGAAGATGCAATACCCTCATTATAACCAGCTATATTTCAGCTCGAATGTCACTGAAAAAAACTGAAAATATTTGGATCAGAATTTGGCTTTAGTTCTTGAAAATTTTCTTTCAATAATCAAGAAAAAGATAAAAATAGGGCCTAGGGTGGGGTCATTAAAAATTCTCAAGAACCACTGGGCCAGAAAAGCTGAAACTTATGTGGAAGCATCCTGGGGTACAGTAGATGCTTAATTTTTAAAACCTGGCCCCCAGGGGTAGAGCGGGGCCACAACAGGGAATCCAAGTTTTACACTGAAATGCTTGTATACAGGAAAAATCTTTAAGAATACTCTTAAGAACCACTGAACCAGAAAAGCTGAAACTTATGTGGAAGAATCCTGGGGGTAGAGTAGATTCTAAATTGTTAAAATCATGACCCTTGGTGGTACGGTGAGGCTAAATAGGGAATCCAAGTTTTACGTTGACATACATAGGAAAAATCTTCTCAAGAACCACTGGGACAAAAAAGCTGAAACTTATGTGGTAACATCCTGGGATAGTGTAGATTCAAAATTAATTAAATTATGGCCCTCAGGGGTAGGGCGGGCCACAATTGGGAATTCCAAATTTTACATTAAGTTAAATATAGGAAAAACTCCCTTCTCAAGAACTACAAAGCCAGAAAAGCTGAAACTAAGTTGCAAGCATTCTTCGATAGTGTAGATTCTGAATTGCTAAAATCATGACCCTTGGGGGTAGGGTGGGGCCAAAAATCCAAGTTTACATTGAAGTATATAGGAAAAAATCTTCTCAAGAACCACATAGCCAAAAAAGCTGAAATTTATGTGGAAACATCCTGTGATAATGTTGATTCTAAATTCTTAAAATCATGGCCCTCGGGGTCAGGGCGGGGCCACAATAGAGAATCCCAAGTTTTGCATTGAAACATATAGAATCTTAAAAAAACCTTCTCAAAAACAGTTTAATGGAGAAGCATCCTGGGGTAGTGTACATTCTAAATTTTCCAAATCATGACCCCTGGGGGAATGGTTAGGCCACAATAGGTATTACAAGGGGAAATCTGGTAAAGAACAGCTTTGCCAAAGTTACAAAGGTGCGCGATGTGGCCCATGGGCCTCTTGTTTTTGCTAACCTGAGCCTACGGGCTCAAGTGAGCTTTTCTGGTCAAATTTTGTATTGTCTGTCCAGCCGTCTGTAAACTTTTCACAATTTCGACTTCTTCTCAAGAACCACTGGGCCAATTTTAACCAAACTTGGTACAAAGCATTCTTGGGTGAAGGGGAGTTTAAGTTATTAAAATGAAGGGTCAAGCCCACCCGTAGGGGAGATAATCAAGAAAAGACAAAAATAGGGTGGGGTCTTGAAAAATATTTTCTTCTCAAGAACCACTAGGCCAGAAAAGCTGAAACTTATGTGAAAGCATCCTGGTATAGTGTAGATTCTATATTTTCAAATCATGACCCCCGAGGGTTGGGCGGGGCCACAATAAGGAATCAAAGTTTTACAGAGAAATTTATAGGAAAAAACTTTAAAATTCTTCTTCTCAAGAACCACTGGGCCAGAAAAGCTGAAACTTATGTGAAAGCATATCCTGAAATGGTGTAGATTCTAAATTGTTCAAATCATGACCCCCATGGATAGGGTGGGGCCACAATAAGGAATCAAAGTTTTACATAGAAATATATAGGGGAAAACTGTAAAATTCTTTTTCTCAAGACCCGTGGGCCAGAAAAGCTGAAACTTATGTGGAAGCATCCTTGGGTAGTGTAGATTCTAAATTGTTCAAATCATGACCCCTGGACGGGGCCCAATAGGGAATCAAAGTTGTACATAAAAATATGTAAGAAAAATCTTTAAAATTTAATTTTCCTCAAGAACCACTGGGCCAGAAAAACTAAAACTTATGTGAAAGCACCCTGGGGTAGTGTAGATTCTAAATTGTTCAATTCACGACCCCCAGGGGTTGGGTGGGGCCACAATAGGGAATCAAAGTTTTACATAGAAATATGTAGGAAAATTCTTTGAAAACCTTCTCAAGAACCCCTGGACCAGAAAAACTGAAACTTATGTGGAAGTTTCTTGGGATTGTGTAGATTTCAAATTGTTCAATTCATGACCCCCGGGGGTAGGGCGAGGCCACAATAGGGAATCAAAGTTTAACAGAAATTTATAGGGAAAAACTTTAGAATTTTTCCTTCTTAAGAACCACTGGGCCAGAAAGCTGAAACTTATGTGAAAGCCTCCTAAGGTAGTGTAGATTCTAAATTGTTCAAATCATGACCCCCTAGGATAGGGCGGGACCACAATAGAGAAGCCAAGTTTTACATAGAAATATATATTTAAAAAAATCTTTAAAATTCTTCTCAAGAATCACTGGGCCAGATAAACTAAAACTTATGGGAAAGCATCTTGGGGTAGTGTAGATTCTAAATTGTTCAAATCACGATAGGTTATTACAAGGGGAAAATCTGGTAAAGAACAGCATAGTCAAAGCTACTCAGGTGAGCGATGTGTCCCATGGGCCTCTTGTTTAGCTCACCTTGATGAAAGGTAATTTTTTAAAGTGGGTCCATTCTCTGGTAACTTAAAGATCTACCTGAACCAAACTTGCATGGTTGATGCATCTAGGGATTGACACTATCGGATTTGCTTCAGATGCTGGATCTGACCTACATTTACCAGATTAGTGAACATTGTTAGCTCACCTGAGCTGAAAGCTCAAGTGAGCTTTTCTGATCACATTTTATCCGGCGTCCGTCTGTTATAAACCTTTCACATTTTCATCTTCTTCTCGAGAACTACTGGGCCAATTTCAACCAAACTTGCCACAAAGTATCCTTAGGTGAAGGGGATTCAGGTTTGTTCAAACCAAGGGCCACGCCCTCTTCCAAGGGGAGATAATTATGATTTCGTGAAAAATTAATGGCATTTTTAAAAAATCTTCTCAAGAACCACTGGGCCAGGAAAGATGAAACTCATGTGGAATCATCTTCAGGTAGTGTAGATTCAAGTTTGTTCAAATCATGACCCCCGGGCATAGTGTGGGGCCACAATGGCCGATCAAAGTTTTACATAGAAATATAGAGGAAAATTCTTCAAAAAACTTCTTAAGAGTAGCAAAGCAATGATAGGTCATATTTATATGGAAGCATCCTCAGGTAGTGTAGAATTAAGTTTGTTCAAATCATGACCCCTGGGGGTAGGGCGGGGCAACAATGGCCGACCAAAGTTTTACATAGAAATATATAGGAAAATTCTTTCAAAATCTTCTACTCAAGAATAACCAAAGCTATGATTGGTCATATTTATATGGAAGCATCCTCAGGTAGTGTAGATTCAAGTTTGTTCAAATCATGACCCTTGGGGGTAGGGCGGGGCCACAATGGCCGACCAAAATTTTACATAGAAATATATAGAAAAATTCTTTAAAAATCTTCTTCTCAAGAATAATAAAGCCATGATTGATCCTATTTATATGGAAGCATCCTCAGGTAGTGTAGATTCAAGTTTGTTTAAATCATGACCCCCGGGGGTAAGGGCGGGGCCACAATGGCCGACCAAAGTTTTACATAGAAATATATAGAAAAATTCTTTAAAAATCTTTTAGGGATGTCAATTTTATTCGGACAGCTTAGTCGAATAGTCAGAGGCTTTAGTTGAATGATAGTCGAATATTCGTTGATATTTTAATTATTTTTATTTTTTCATGTCATTTTCAATGTTTGCCATTTATAACAAGTTGTACAATATTTAACCTACCGGTATATATACTATCACCATTACGCGAATTTTTGAATTGTAAACAATTACATTCTACAATAAATACATACACATGTTTCCAATGTATTTCATATCAAAAGCAATATTTACTTCTCATTTTATCTAAATGAAAGAAATCAAACGCTCGCATAATTTGTCCTTTCTTTTCAAGGCCGTAACTAGGCTCAAATTTTAAGTGAGGCAAGGGTGCTGGGCATTTCTAGTCCCAGGCGTAGCAAGGGTAGTACCTGATGACCAGTGATGGGGGTTTCCAGGGGGAGGGGGGATCCTGGAAACTGGGTATAGAAAATAAAAGATTTAATCTTAGAAAGTTTTGAATCGTCGCCTGCTTGGTTCAGTGGTTAGAACGTATGCTCTATTTTCGCAGACTAAGGAAATGATCCTTGCATCACGGGTTCGAATCCCACTGCGGGATGTAGAGACATGTCCTTTGGGTGAGACCGTAAAAACCGAGGTTTTATATGTCACAGTAAGTGATGGCACGATAAAGATCTATCACTGTTCAGTCATCTTTATTGACCTTGAAAGTTCAGTACAGAATTAAAATTCTAACCCTCTACTGGCAAGTAGTGGTGTCTAAATATGAATGAGAAATTCTTAGAAGGGGTGTTTAACAATTAAACAATTTACAAAACAAACATTTGGAATTATTTTTACATGTGTTCTAAATGAAAATGAGGCACCTGGTGAGATGAACGATAAACGGAAATTCAAATAAAAGTTGAAAATATTAATCTAACACGAAGACACAGATAATTCATAAGTTCAATGTAAAACTTGTTAACTTTTCAGAAAACACCGAGAATTTAGTGAGGCATTTGCCTCACTTGCCTCCGTGGTAGTTACGGCCTTGCTTTTCATAAATACAGGTAATCGAAACCATTTGTATGGGTCTTGTCAGTGACCTGCGACTGGAAAACAATGAAAGCGCGTCTCTTGTAAAAACAGAGAGGGGGAGGGGGGGAGAGAGAGAGCTTGCGAGAAATTTTAATTAAAAGATTTTGTGCAAACAACCAATACAATCTTAAAATGACTGCTTGATATTAATAGCAAAACGAAATGTCATCTAATTACACACATAACTGTCCCCAATTTACATGTATTTACAATTTTGTTACAGTTGTTTAATTATTCTAATTATACCCTGTACATACAGTGCATTAACGTTTTTATATATAGAATTGCATGTTGAAACTTTTGAATTTAAATCTACAAAACCAAACAACTTGCAACAATAAGGGGTATACAATCCTTGATAATCATGTTTGTGATGGTAGTATTGTTCTTTTCAGCTCCTCTTTTCTATCGACATTTTTGCAGATAATTCAATAGGAAAGTTTTAAGAAGACAGTTTATGTTTGACGGATTCGGCATGTTATACATAATATTTGATGTTCCACTGCAGAATAGAAGTTTAGTTTCACATAAAGTTGATAATATACTTATACCTGTTTTTCCATCCGATCTCTTAAAGTTTGCCAAAACTATAGATTTTAGAGGCATGTTTTCCGAACATGAATCGACATAAAAATAATTTCCTTTGAACAGTTAAACCTTCCCCTATGTCTAACATACGAGAACATTGATGTGTAAATAAATGAAATGGGCGGATCCAAGTTTATTACCTTTAATTCAAAATTACTCTACGGTAACACTATTTTAACAAATAACCGACTGAAGAAATTTTAGTTGATAGTCGGTATGATCGAACGATAGTCGAGGACTTGATTATTCGTTGACATCCCTAAAATCTTCTCAAGAAAAACAAAGCCATGACTGGTCATACATGTATTTATATGGAAGCATTCTCAGGTAGTGCAGATTCAAGTTTGTGCAAATCATGCCCCCTCCCCTTTAAGAAATGGTTTGGACTACTTTTGGGTTTAAACTTTTTAATAATAAACTAATTTCTGCTTTTATGCTAGCCACAGTGCTCAGGTGAGCGGTGTGGCCCATGGGCCTCTTGTTAAGTTTTTGGAGTGGGTCAATTTCCAAGTAACTAGTAACTACATGTGTTCTACCCAAACCCAATTAACTTGCATGGGTTATACAACTAGGGATATATTATTTACACTACCTATATAACTTGCATCAAATGCTGGATCTAGATGAGTAAATTTTAGACATACTTGCATCAGATGTTGGAACTGATCAACGTTTGCTTGATTAGAGGATATATGTCAAAGTTCTTCAAGGTCCATAACTAAACTGGTCTTAATTATCTGGAGTTTTCCAGGCTTTTTTCACCAGGTTTACCTGGCACGTAAAATATCAAAATCATGAAAAAGCCTGGAAAACGTAAGATATTTTGGACTAAAACTAAACTTGCATGGATTATTGATCTTGGGATGCACGCTTGACAGAAATATGTTCTGAGATTTGCATTATAAATAACATTTAATTATCAAGGTGAGCATTGTAATTCAAGGCTGTATAATCGGGCTTAAATTTTTAGTATGCTAGAGATCTCAGTGGGGGCAACCAGGCTTTTCTAAGGTGGTTCTCGGGTGGTGGGAATGACCTGGATTTTTAGACAAAGGCAATCTTTAAAGTTTTCATGTTTTGAATTATTTTTTACACGCTTTCTAGATGATAATGTCAAGCACCCGGTGAGATGATCAATTACTGTACAGAAAATTAAACAAAAGTTGTGTAGAAAGTAGGAATTTTCGACAAAGACATAATTTAAGTTCACTTTACAGAATCCCTAAAATTTTAGTGATGCATTTGCCTCAGTTATAAGTAGTTTCAGCCTTGTAATATTTGATTACCTGTTTTTATTATGCCACAGATTAAGTAATAGATTGTTTACTGAATACCTGTACGTGTGGTCCAGTTGTGGTTAAGTATTAAGGTCAATGGAGTCTAAATACAGTTCCTCTTATACATTGTTTTACATGTTTTTTTTAGCTATCCTGTTTTAGTTTCTTCAGGAATTTCTGCCATGAGTCTTAGAGTACATGCAGATAGCAGTGTTTGAGGGATGGATGCACGTATTACAGGTATTGTACAAAAAGGTATCTAACAGAGGTGAATTGCAGGTATTTTTCTGCAAAGTGGAGGAAAGGGGGATGAATTTTCAGACCTCTAATTCTTAGTTCAGCTCTTCTTATCACCTGTTGCCCATTGCCCATCATGTTTATCACCTGTTGCCCATTGCCCATCATGATCAGCTTAAGTCTCTCTGCATGTCCATTTTTTTTTCACATTTTCAATTTCTTCTGGGCCACTGGGCCAATTTTAACCAAAGTAAAAACTGAAACTTATGTGGAAGCATCCTTGTGTAGGTTAGATTCTAAACTGTTCAAATCATAACACCCCCCCCTCTCCTCCCCACCCCTTTCCAGGTAAGACAGAGCCATAATAGAGAATCCAAGTTTTACATATGAATACACATTAAAAATCTTTTTTTTAATTGATGATACATCTAAGCATGCTGAATTTGGCATACATTTTCCAGATAATGGACCAGGTAAAAGTGATGGGTGCAGGCCTATCGCCAAGAAACTTCAAGGCCTATATTTATCAAACTTGCACAATTGATGCATCAAGGGATGAGCACTGTCAAACTTGCTTCAGGTGTTGGATTTGAATTACACTTTCTTGATGGGCAACTAGTTTGAAGTTCTTGAATAGGTCTATTTCAAAGTAACTGCAAGCCCTCCTAAATGAAAAAAGGCTTAATGAGATCAAATTGCGTAAGTTTTTCCTTTTTAGATGTAAACTTAGAATATTGGTTAATTGTGTAACTTTGCCTTATATATAATTACTTGAAGACAAATTCGTTGAGGTGAGCTCTGTAATCTCAGATTACCTATGTTTTAATATGTTTTTTGTATGTACATATATGTATACAGATGCAAGGCATTTAGCATTGTAATTTTTAGCTCACCTGAGCGGAAGGCTCAAGTGAGCTTTTCTGATCAAAATTTTTCCGTTGTCTGTCATTGTTATCATTGTAAACTTTTCACATTATCTTCTTCTCAAGAACCACTGGGCCAATTTCAACCAAACTTGCCACAAAGTATCCTTGCATCTTTTAAAAATCTTCTTCTCAAAAACCACAGTAAGTTGGTCAGGAAAGATAAAACTCATGTGGAAGCATCCTCAGGTCGTGTAGATTCAAGTTTATTCAAATCATGACCCTATGTGGGGCCATGATGGGGGGTCAAAAATTAACATAGGAATACATTGAGAAAATCTCTAAAAGTCTTCTTCTCAAGAACCACTGGGCCAGAAAATATGAAACTCATGTGGAAGCATCCTCTGGTAGTGTAGATTCAATTTTTTTTTCAAATCAGGACCCCCAGGGGTAGGATGGGGCCACAGTGGGGTGCCAAAGTTTAACATGGGAATACATGTATGAGGAAAATCTTTAAAATTATTCTTCTTAAGAACAGCAGAGTCATGATTGGTCTTAGTCATATAGAAGCATTTTCATGTGGTGTAGATTCAAGTTTGTTCAATTCATGATCCCATTTGAACCCACATTTATTTTTAAATTTTTCAATACTGGACTGATTTTTGCTTTTAGTTTTACATAGCCAGAGCTCAGGTGAGTGATGTGGCCTGTGGGCCGCTTGTTAGGGGAAGTTTCCTTTTGCCAAAAAGCGCTAAAAAGGAATACATAACCAAATGTAGTATGTATATGTTAATTTACAGTATTATTTCAAAATTATAGTTCTTTTGTAACGAAAATTTGATTTGCTACCAACCATATTAGAGAGAAAAATTTTGAGCAATTTTCATGACATATTTTTGATGATACAATGTTGTTATGAGTGTTCCTGATCAGAGTGACAAAACATTGACTTTAAAGTTTAAAATTAATTTATAGAATTCAAACTAAGTCAAATGGAATGAAACTTTACATATTGATAGGACAAAGTTTTAGTTTTATTGATTTGAAAATTTTATGTTCATAAATCTTATAATAAAAATTATGATAAGGATCAATATATTGTTTATTTATTTTTAGCTCTACTGGTCAGAGACCAGAAGAGCTTATGCGATAGTAATGTGTCCGGCATCCGTCCGTCTGTCTGTCTGTAAACAAT